CCAGACTGCCGGAGGCGATCTGCAAATGCAGGGAGGGAGGGAGGGAGTGAGCTCTGCTGCAGGGGGGAGGAGGGGCTCTCTCTAGCTGTCAGAGCCTCATGTAAGTGGCACCATCCGGCCGGCTGCCCTGTTAGCCGCGCGCGCTCTGCATGGCGGGGGGAAATCCGGACATTTACAAATTCCCCCCGGACGCTATTTTTAGCTCCAAAATCCGGACATGTCCGGGGGAATCCGGACGAATGGTAACCCTAAATATTCCCTGTCCGCACAAATGCACCACTACTACTGCTAGGATTTTGGTAAAAACTCTCAGGGCTGTCAAAAATCCGAAGGGTAGCATTCTGTATTGGAAGTGGTCTTTCCCTATTGTGAATTGTAGGAACCGTCTGCATGCGGGATGGATGGTAATATGAAAGTGCTCTTGTAGGTCGAAGGCTGAGAACCAGTCCTCCTTTTCCAGCGCTGGGATAATTGAGTTTAGTGTGACCATCTGTGGGTATGGACAAACTTGTTGAGTTTTCTAAGATCTAATATGGGTCTCCATCCACGGTTTTTGTTTTGAGTCAGGAAACTGTGGGAATAAATTCCCTTCCCCTTGTGTTGTGTTGGAACTTGTTCCACAGCACCTAGTTGTAGAAGATGATTAACTTCTTGTCGTAGAAGGTGCTCATGAGAAGGGTACCTGAAGAGAGACAGGGAAGGGGGATGGGTAGGTGTAATGGAGATAAAAGGGATGGTATAACCTGTGTGGATGATCTCTAATACCCAGTGGTCTGTGGTGATGGAGGCCCACATATGATAAAACGGTCATAGCCAATGACCAAAGGTCTGGCTTGTTCATAGTATTGGCGCTGGTTGTCGGGGGAGGTCAGTCAGACCCTTGACCAATGTTTCAAAATTGCATCTTGGCTGATGGTGCTTGGGACGCCGCAGACTGAGACTGGGAAAGATGATGTCTCTGTGGCCGGTGTCTTTGTCTCTGGTTGTCCAATTGTCTCTGTTGTTGTTGTTGCACTGTATTGTCTCTGTTGCGGGAGTATGGCTGGTATCTCCTCCTTCTCTTTGGGGTTGTGTAAATGCTGAGTGTTCTTAGTGTCGCTCGTGAGTCCTTCATGGAATGTAGGAATTCATCTGTCTTGGCGGAGAACAGTTTATCCCTATCAAAGGGGAGGTCTTCTATCTTAGTTTGAAGTTCCCTCAGGATTCCTGAAGAATATAGCCATGAAGTTCTGCACATTACTATTGCTGTTGCTTTTGTGCATGCGGCTGTGTCCACAGCATTGAGGGATGCTTTGGGTGCTGTTCTGGCTACAAGCTGTCCCTTGTTAATGATGGCTTGGAATTGTTACTTCTTGTCCTCTGAGATTTCATCGAGGAACTCGTTCAGTTTAGCGTAATTATCATGGTCGTATGTTGCTAGTAACACTGTGTAGTTGGCCGTGCGGAATTGCAGACTTGCCGAAGAGTAGACTTTCCACCCAAATAGATTTAATCTCTTCCAATCCTTGTCTTGGGGTGTGGATCAGGATTGCAGTTGTTTACCCCATTGGTTGGCCCCATCCACCACTAAGGAGTTGGGCTGGGGGTGCGAGAAGAGGAAGTCCATGCCTTTATTTGGTACATAATACTTTCTGTCTGCATGTTTGCAAGTTGGAGGGATGGTGGAGGATGTTTGCCACACTGTTTCTGCTAGTTCCATCAATGCATCTGTGAACACTGTATGGAGTATGGGACACACTTTATGATATTGATACCAATATTATAAAATTGCAAGGAATCTGACCAGAGATGCCATGTAAGGTATCTGTGAAAATGTTATGATTTGCCAAGTATGATCATCTTGTTTATATGTTTGTATCACTTTGTATTGTGAGTTATAGATGTGTATGGTTGTGACATTCCCCTCTGGTGTTATCTGGACCGGTGGTCTCCTAGGTCACTTCAGTCATTGACTCTGGGAGCCAGCCTTACTCTGCTCTGCTGTGAGAACCCCCACTCCTGGGTTGTTCACGCACAGCCTCTGGCATGTAAGCTGCTCCCAGCTATTTGCAAGCGAATTACACTAGCCAATATCTCCGGTCCCAGACACAACCCTAGGAACCTCCGTCTTGCAGTGTCCAGTTGTGCCTGCTGGACACCGCAAGCTTATATGAGTTCATCAGTTTAACAAAGAAATTGATATGTACCAGGCTTGTTGTCCCAAGGGGAGCCTCTGACACACTTCAAATCAAACGCACTGCTTCAGGTAGAATAAACAAACAAATGTATTAACTATAAAGATAGATTTTAAGTGATTAAAAGTCAAAGCATAACAAGTCAGAGTGGTTACCAAAAGAAAATAAAAGATAAGCACGCAGTCTAAACTCTCAACCTTATTAGACTGGGCAGCAACTAGATTAAGTAGTCTTGTCTTCTTCTCAGTGTCTTGGTTGCTTGCAGCATAGGTAGGGGCAGGAGAAGGGCCCAGTATGTGTCCACTCTGTCTGTTTTATACTCTCAGTCCATTTGCTTGGGGAGCAAAAGTCTAGGCATGTCTGGAGGGCATTGCTGAGTCTCCCCAAGCAAGGTTGAGAAATTCCCCTGGTGTGTCCTCATGCAGGTGAGTTATTGCATTGTAGCTCCCTTGCTGGAAAATGGTGTTGATGGGTTGTTTGACACCCCACTCGGGCGTTGGTTACTTTCCTTGCTGTTGCCTCTGGGGAGCTAATATCTGGTTGAGTCCCCAACTAA